TGGGGGGGGGGGGGTTGGTGGACCGCTGTGGTGTGGTGTGGTGCGCGTCGTGTGTGCGTCAGTCACATGCAGCTGGCAGTGCGTGGCGTGTGTGAGGCTGAGGCTGACGCGACCGAGACAGACACACCAACCATACAATAATAATGAGACAAGCAATCGCTGACCCGAGCAGTCCTGACACACACACGTGGCGCATGGCACGCCAGCGCTCGCCCTTACTCCTTCAGACCGACACGGAAGGGCCGACTACACACGCCTGTCGGATCTGTCTCTGTGTGCCTGTGTGGCTGTGTGGCTTCCCATACGCCACCCACTCACTCGCGGACACGACTGACTGACTGACTGAATTGATGCAATCAATGCCTGTCAGCTGAGGGTTCTGCGGGCAGACGGCTGCCGTCCGTTTGTGTGTCTTTCTCGGCGTGTGCTCGGGAAAAAAGGTCTAGTCCTTCCGTGGAGTGGAGATCCAGTCAATCAATCGTCTCACCGGCGTCATCATGTCGGTCAGTCACACACCTAAATGCTCTTCCATCCAACCACACACACACACACGTGTAGCTAGCTGAGTGCAGCAGCAGCAGCAGCAGCATAATCCAAGATCCATCTCAGCCCCGCCCGCCTGACTGTCCTGGCTGACTAACTGACCGATAAGATAACATAACACCCTCCCTCCCTGCCCTCCCACCCCACCAACACATCCATCCATCCATCCGTCCAGTGGTCGGCCGGTCGGTCGGTCGGTCAAGGGCCTTGCCGTGTCGTCACCTGTAAGTCCATCAAATTTGCAATCAAGGAAGGTACCAACACGACAGACAGACACAGTTGCCTGCCTGTTTGCCACCCAACTCATGGCCAGCCCACCTACCATCCTAGGATCAAACAAACGCGGCCCTCGCGGAGCGAACAGAGTGGGCCCGCCAAACTGCTTTGGCCGACGGTCACCACCTGGCTGCTGCTGGAGGGCGTCTCTGAGCGCTGGCCGACGGGCCGCAAAGGCCTCGCGCGTCGTCCGCTGGCTGAAGGATCACACACATAGACACACACATGCTGTTCGTCCTGTGTGTGATTGATGTGAGATCATGTGACTAGATTAGATTACTGACCTGCACGCCAGGTGGATGTGGCAGATGCAGAGCGCCATGGCACCCAGCAGCATCACAGCAGCCGGGATGGCCACCAGAAGCACCAGCAGAAACACTGCAATCACACACACACATACAGAGGAAGAGAGAGAGAGAGATGAGGACCGACCAACCAAGAGTGTGTCGGTGTGGTGTGTGTGTGGGTGTGTGCTGGTAAGTTGTCTGTCACCCACCCCACCTGCAGTGGTGCCGAGTGCAGATTGGGCTTGGGGGTTGCCGCCATCCGCCGGGCGGGACACCCCCATCACATACAGAAACAGACCTGCCAGCCCAGCCACAGCCATAGCCATACACACCAGACACGGGGAGGGGATGGGTTCTGGGGTGGGTTGAGACGCGTGTGTGAGATGAGAGCAACAAACATACCCACAATCACACAGAACCCCAGGCAGACTGTGCTCCAGAGGAAACCTGCACACGCAGCCCACGGACACACACCGGGAGGGAGGGAGGGGGGAGCCGTCGGTCGAGTCGACGCGACGCGTGTGTGTGTGTGTGCAGGCCTGCCTCCTCCCTCTTCACACACATAACACACACACCAGTGAAGAAGTGGTAGTTGCGCTGCCCGATACAGTTGTTGACAAACTGACACTGCACACACACACACACCCACACCCACATACGTCCATCCATCCAGCCACACCAACGTGGTATGGTAGGTGGAGGCGATCGATGCACGGCACCGTACGGCGCGTGTGTTGATTAATTACATGGTGGTCGAAGCGCAGCACACTGAGCAAACAGACGAAGGAAACGAACACAGCAGAAGCAGCCAGCAGGAGAGAGAGGAGAGGCGACAAATGAGGGAGGGAGGGAGGGAGGGAGAAGGCGCGGCAAGTAGGTGTCCTTTCTCGCACGCTCACCAGTTGTTGCAGATCTTGCAGTGCGAGGCCCTCTGCGGCCTGAATGAACCAGCAAGGAATGACACAAGAACAAACAAGTCACCATCCCACCCAGCCACACGAGGCGTGGAGGCCCTCCCTCCGTCCCTTCTGCTGGCTGACCTCATAAGTCTGCAAGTTGAGCAGTATCTTAATCCGTCCTGTGGCGGCGGCCGACCCAGCCCCTCATACGCGGGAGGGATGTCAACCTCACGAGGCTGCAACAAACAAACAAACAAACACACACACACATGGACACATGGACAGATGGTGCCTGGGAGAGACAGCAAGACCGACCCACCCTGTATCGGC